ACCTTGCCAACACTCCTTATAGCTGGTCCAGAGGTTTTTCTAACATCGGGTTTGTGACCAGCATATTCGTGCTTTGACAACTTCTGCCTTTCTGAAACTTTCAGAAAGGCCTTTTCTTCCGGAATCGCTGGGTATCGATACATTCACTCATAAGAGAAACTGATGTCAATTCTTGCAAATACCAGTATCTTGCTATCAGAGAGAAGATAGGTGTTTTAAAAAAAAAAAAAAAAAGGCCCAGTCTGAGAATTTTTATTTTTTACCTGTTGACCACTGAGAGCCAAGCGAAGGAGCTTCATCATACTGCTGTACTTAGTCTCTTTGGTTTGCTTCTGGAGGCTTCTCAAGTCTTTGTTCAGCTCCTCCACAGTCAAAACAGCTGCCTGCCTTGTCATAAGCCTTTAGGAAAAGAAAACGTCCTTACAATCTGGGGACGTACAAAACACAGGATTCCTACCCAGAAATGACCCAGTGAGTGCCAGCTGCCTCAGACTGGTTTTGCAAAATCTTCTGGCAACAGCAGCAGCTCAAAGTAAACTCTCTTGCCCTTCACCAGGGCACTCCCTCTGCTCACTGCAGCGTTGCTGGTGTTCACGGGCACCCTCCGAGGTGGAGCTGCTTTGCCTCGATACTGCTGCTAAGACTCTGCTTTGCAAAACCATGCCTTTACTTCAACAGCACCTGGAGCAGAGCTTGTTCAGAAAAACAAGCATCAAGTTTAAATCACATAATCCTGCCAAAGACCAGGAAAACCATGGCAAAAGCAGTAAGTCTGATTTCTTTTTTAATAATATGATTTTTAGAGATGCAGCAGCCATCGCTGATACTACTCAGCCGTAGGTAGCAGTACTATTATCCAGGATAGCAAGTGATCTGACATTTAAAATACCATCACTTGGGTTCAGTTCCCACTCAGCTGTGAGAAATGACTAAGGGCAACAAGCTTTACAAATAGCTGGGAATAATAGCTCAATTTGTAGATACTGCCACCTTAATTACTGTCAAAACTGGTTTCCAGAGCTCATTTTAGTCCAGAGGTGAGATCTGAACTGGAAAGGCAACTGACATACCACCCTGCCTCGCTGCAAGGCATGGAGTAGCAGAGAGACGCAGGGCAGCACTGAAACTCCTTGGAAGTCCCCCCCCAAACTCACTGGGGAGTAGAGGGGAAGTCCTAGACTGGGCAGACTGCCATTCCAGCAATGTTTCTGAGCAGACAGAACTGCAGGCTGCTAGCCAGGGCCAAAGAAATGGAAGCAGGAAAAGCCCCCCAGGGACAAGCTCTTCAAAAGTGACAGTGATTCTGGCTGGACACAACGCGGGTTCATTCCAGAGACCCAGCAGTCTCATTACATAAACTCAATACAGCTGATGAAAACCACCTTGGACTTCTCCAGTTTGATGCTACAACAGGCAAAAGCACAGGAGATGTGGTGGCATGGGAACACCCTGCTAACACCACTGCTTTGTTTGCACTGTGCTGGCACACAAACTCAGCTGTGCTGGGTGCTTTACAAAATCCAGACGTGATAATTCTTGCTTGAGAGCATTGATATGAGCTTTCCCGCTGGCAAGCTACTTTTCAATTAAAAACACAGAATTTCTCACTGGTTATTAACTGCTGCACATTCCAAAGTAGAGGAAATTAAGTAAGAACTATAAGTATGTCCAACATCAATACAGCAGCCAAGAGCAATGCTCTGGGGCAGGCAAGGTGGGTGTCTACAGAGCTGGGAAGAGACACTTACCCTAAGACTAGTTTTCCTATTTCATCTACTTCTGCAGAAATAGTCTGTAGCTGCTCTCGGGACACCGAGGGCCTAACCCATAAGTAAGAATAATCAGATGACACCAGATTCTTCAGGAAGCTTATGTGACCCTGGAGAAAGAAAGCAAAGCTGTTACGGCTGAGGGTTAAGCTGGAGGGAACAAACACATCCTCTCTGGACTTCACAAAGAGTTAAGGTGGGTCCAAACACACCACCATCTTGTACTTCGTACTGCTCAGAGGAAATGTGAATGGCTGACATTTAGGTGGCTGAGTTTTTCACACCCAGAACCAGCTGGTGTGAGCAGGGAGGCAGAAGCAGCCCAAAGGGCCACTGCTGTGCTTGTGCTGCAGAGCCGCGTGCGAGCTGAGTCAGAGTTAGCCCGGGGAAGTGGCTGCCCATGTTCATCTGCTGCCTTGCCACAGACACAGTCACATGAGTCACCGTCCCGATGCCACAGCAAAGCCTTCACGCTGGAACTGCCGGGTCTCTTCCTGCCCTTATAAAGAAGGCTTTATTCTTCACAAGCCAAGTCCTCAAGATACTACAGCAGCATCCCAAGGGCAGACTGGGAAACAGCGGGGCTCACCCTCCTTCCTGGCATTGGGAAGAGCCACAATATCTTCTGTCCCCCTTACAGCTGGCACTCTGTCACTTAGCTGAGACCAGGGCTCCCAATGCACAAACCCCACTAGAGGTTGCTTTGACTTTGCTTCCAAAGTGTGGAGCAGCAGCAAAGCAGAAGCACCTTATGCTGCCCAGAAGCTAGAGGTGAGCAGTCTCCTGGCATGAGGGGCCCTGGACCTTCCCATCTCAAGCCAGCCGCATCCTGGGCTTCAGGAGGAGAAGCACAGCTTGGAGCTTGTCACCACTTACCTAGACAAAGCCACAGCTGACCTGATCCCACACCATTGACAGTCCTGCTATGGAGACCAGAGAGGTCTCCAAGAAATATCCTACAAGTCTATGATTCGCTTCCACAGCAGGGACATGTCTTCCCTCTGCTGGCTCAGCAAAGTATGGATGAGCTTACAACTCTGCAAAGACCACCATGCCTGTTCCTACAGATCAGCTAACTATATAATTGGAGGTGTTCAAGGCCAGGCTGGATGGGGCTTTGAGCAACCTGGTCTAGCAGGAGGTGTCCCTGCCCATGGCAGGGGGGTAGGAACTCGCTGATCTTTAAGGTCCCTTCCAACTCAAACCATTCTATGATTCTATGATTCTGTGATTTTGGCATTCAGCACACACACAACCCCTTGAGCTGGCAGCGACAGCCATTTGCAGCCTGCAGAGCTTCACAGCTCAGATCAAAGCAGTGCCCAGGACTCAGCTGAGTCTTCATCCAGGAATCCCACAAAACCTAAACTCCCCAGAACGGTGACGCAATGCTATCCCTGGTCATACTTTTCTCAGCAGGAGGACTCGCTCCACATACTCCTTTTCTAGAACCTCTTGATCCACTTGTTGATCTCCATAGACGTGCTCCACCAGCAACTGCACTTCTCTAATTAGCTTCTGTCGCAGTCCTTCATGCTCAATATGACGGGTGAGGTGAATCCTGTAACAAAGAAGAAAACTGCTTTTGGACTGGTTTGGGGTTAGATTAAATCTAATCATCCCAATCTCATGACATTAACCAATTAAAACTATTAGAAAAGCAACAATAAACTCCAGACAGACATAGATGCAGTCACTCTCAGTAGCACAACATCCCCGTAGCGCATGAGTGCAGAAGTTCCCTCTGGAAGTGTTGCCTCTTTAGATGTTATTTTGAATCTAAACTTAAAACTTTGCATCCTCTTTGCTACACACCATCTGCCCAGGCTTTTAGAGTGCACCCAACACCAGTGTCCAAGCACAGGACGGGAGAGGAAACAGGAACAGTGTGAACTTACATTTTGCTCTAACACAGCCAAAAAGCCACTGCGCTAGGACCACGCTTGAGCCAATAAACAAAATTGCCAGACAAAGCCAAGTGCTAGGAATAAATCCTCACTGATGAGAATTATTAATTTTAAAATTGCCACTGATATTTATACCTGTTGAATTCTGGGAGTTTTTCAAGATCCAGGAGAGCAGAATGGGTTGTGATTCTGCCTATTTCAAACTGCGGGATCAGCTCCTCCAAAGTCCTCCCCATCTGTTTCTCTGCAAAATAACCCAACAAGGGAATGATACACACCCACTCCTCTGCAGGGAACTACCGTCGCTGCTTGTCATTGCAAGCCTCAGGCTCCAGGCTGGGACAGCAGCACAGCCAAGGAAGAAGTGACACAGGAGAGACACTTTTCGCTGTGTTAACAGGGATGTATCCCAAAAAACAGGAGGGAACTTGTAGCAGGCATGCATGAGAAGCTGCCCTCTCCCTAAGAGCAGGCCCTGCTAACTACTGGCGAGCAACTGGAAACCGGGTCGCTCTGCTTGGCTCTTCAGTGGAACACCCCTTGCATCAGTCACCCAAAAAGCAGTAACACTCAGCCAGGAGGCTCCACTGCCCAAGAGAGGTTTCATTCCCAAGCAGAGTTCCCAAAGCACAAGTTAATTTGTGATCCCCACACAGCAAGAACAACAAAAGGAGTCATTGACTCAACTTCACATGGTCTTTCAGGTTAAACAAGAAGCGCGACCGATGTAATACACGACATTGCAATTATTAACCATAGCATACAAGTTTTCCCAAGAGTTCGCAGACAGTTTCTTCTCCTTGAGATGAATGTTGTCCCAGATGGGAACCCATTAAGCATCAGACTCGTTTTAAATGGCTGCAGGGGCAGAAAGATTCCCACCATTTCCAGCACACCACCCAGTCTTTCACAGGAGCTCTGCAGATGCCCCAGTGGCATTTCAGTGACAGATTGGTCATGATTATTTCCTGATCCCTTCAAAAGCTTTCAGAGATCTTGGCTACTAAAATAAACCTAACCCATTCCCTAAAGTCAGCATCAAGAAGTGTCCTAGCAAGTATCGAGCCTGTTGTCGTTACCTGTGAATCCAGAGCCACAGTTGGTGATGATGTCCAGCAGAGCCTCTGGCAAGTAGCCATCCCGAGCAAAACGCTCCAGAAAAATGTCCCCCTGCCTTTTTGACAGCTTGCCACCGTCTTTGTTCAGAAGCAGTGGGAGGTGACCAAACTGAGGGGGATCCCAGCCAAAGGCTTTGTAGAGAAGGAGATGCTTGGACGTCGAAGTCAGCCACTCAGTTCCGCGCAGAACGTGGCTGATGCCCATGTGATGGTCATCCACCACATTGGCCAGGTGGTAAGTGGGGAAGCCATCCCCCTTGAGAATCACTGGGTCACCTTCCACGTCAGCCACTTCGTGCTTGTTCCAGCCATAGACCAGGTCCTGAAAGGGTTCCACCCCCTTCTCCAGCCGGAAGCGGACTACCCAGTCAAGGCCTTGTGACAGCTTCTCAGCCACTTCTGTGGGCGTCAGGTGCCGACACCGGTTGTCATATCTTTGAGAAAGGAAAACGAAGGTCTCAGTTCAACACAGGCCAACCCCACCAACCATTTCCACATCCCCAAAACTCTAAATCAATCCTTAAATTTTAGTTGTAACCTTCCCACTATATGTCCAGTCAAACTACCTCATCTCTGGGGGTCACTCCCCCTAAGCCTGTAAGGATTACGCTGGCTTCTCTCTACAGGCAGCGAGATGACAACCCTATTGCCCTGTACGTTGTCGTAAGTTTTTGCAAGCATGCAGCACAGAAGGAACCACCCAGGGGACAAGGAATCCCTACCGCGGGGTCTGCTGGCTCCGCAAAGCCTCCTTCTTCAGCAGTTCCAGGCGCTGAGGGGTACAAAAGCAGCGATACGCCGCCCCGCTCTCCAAAAGCACGTCGCTGGCGCTCCTATAAAGGTCAAGCCTCTGTGACTGCTGGTAGGGGCCGAAGGAACCACCACGGCGAGGACTCTCATCGGGGGGAATACCTGAAATATCAGTATGGTGGGACTTAGAAAGGCCATAAAAAGGCAGAGCAAAACCCATCAATGGAGCACAACGAATGAAAATGAAACAGGGACGAATGAAGATGAAACAAAGACAGTTTCTGCTCCAGGGCAGCCAGCTGATGGCATCTGGCTAGCACAGGACTCACTTCCCTGGACTCAGAAGGTAAACAGCAGCCAAAATCATCAGAGTTTAGAGTGCTGTGTGTGAATCAACAAACAGAAAAAACCCCAAACCTCATAAAAAGCTGATACACCACTTAAAGCAAAATTCAGTCAGGTGTACACACATAAAGTAGCATCTACCCTTTTTATAGTAAAGAACACTCATACCACAAAAATACAGTTGAGACTGTAGCCAATTATTTTACCTACCTCAAAGTATATTACTCAACAGCAAAGTCCTAGGCCCTTAAAGCTCACCTACCCATTAACGGCAGCATCTGTGGGATCTGGCTCTAACTTTATGACAACTGTTCATTCCAAAACCACCCTCACTTCTAGTTCTTAAGCTCAAAAAGAAGCAGAGGATTCAAAATGCAAACTGACACCTCCAGATCCCCTTTAGCAAGTACTCCCTATACAGACAATCTACCAGTTGACAGTGAGGTCTGCGAGCTCCAACTTCTGACCTTTCCATCACGTCCCTCGGGCACAACCTTTGTTACACCTGCACATTGGGCCACTTTCACAAAGTTTGATCTTTCTCAGCGGGTTAAGAAACGACAGACATTTGTAAATACCTGCCCAATCCAGCATATCTTCTATTCCCTCCGCAGCTCCAGGCACCACTCGATTTTGATCTGTATCCTCCACTCTCAAAATAAAGGTCCCTTGGTGCTTTTTGGCAAAAATGTAATTGTACAAAGCAGTGCGAAGGCCACCCAAATGCAGAAAACCTGTTATCGTGTGGAAATCAGAGGAGATAATAATAATTAAGGCCCAAAAAAGAGATTTTAAAATATGAACTGGAAGGGGGAATGCCACCTGTCGTGGGAATTGATATCAAAGGCTACCTGGGGGGGGCAGGGGGGTGTGCTGCACGGGCACTAATTGGCTTTGGAGGTCTTTGCTATGGAACTAACTTATCGGTAACTGCCTTCCAAGAGCGTATTCCCTGGAGCGAACTGGGAACCAGCTCTAAGCTGGCATGTGGCAGGAAATACCGTTTGATGGAATTGTCAGAGTTGGAAGGGACCTCCAGAGATCATCTAGTCCAATCCCCCTGCCAAAGCAGGGTTGCCCAGAGCACATCACTCAGGACTGTATCCAGGTGGGGCTTGAAGAGAGAAGGGGACTCCATGACCTCCCTGGGCAGCCTGTTCCAGGGCTCTGACACCCTCACCAGAAAGAAGTTTTTCCTCGTATTTGAGTGGAACTTCCCATGTTCCAGCTTGTGCCCGTTGCCCCTTGTCCTGTCAGCAGGAATCACTGAAAAGTCTGGCTCCGTCATCCTTGAACCCACCCTTTAGGTACTTGTATAGATAGATAAGGTCTCCCCTCAGCCTTCTCTTCTACAGGCTAAAGAGCCCCAGCTCTTCGAGCCTTTCCTCACAAGGGTCCTTGAACCCACCCTTTAGGTACTTGTATAGATAGATAAGGTCTCCCCTCAGCCTTCTCTTCTACAGGCTAAAGAGCCCCAGCTCTTTGAGCCTTTCCTCACAAAGCAGGTGCTCCAGTCCCTCCACCGTCTCAGCTGCCCTACCCTGGACTCTCTCCAGCGGTTCCCTGTCTCTCTTGAACTGGGGAGCCCAGAACTGATCTTCCACGGGAAAGCACCAAATAACTTTCCCTTATTCCTGACACGACGCGACAGGCTGCAGCTGAGCCGCCTTTATTTCCACACTGACCGGGCGGCTCCAACCCGGGAGGGAGTGGGGGCTCCCTTCCCTCGGCAGAGGCAGCGGGTACCTCAGCGGAGCGCCCGGCACCGGCAGCCTCCCCGCTCCTGGTGTGTTTCGATTCACGTTTTCCAACCCAAAGCCCGCAGGGGGGGAGGGGAGCGGGGGTTACCTGTGGGGCTGGGCCCGAACCGTACCCGCGGTCCCGGGCGCGGCGAGGCGAGGCGGCGGGCGGTAGAACGGGGTGGGGCGGGGAAACGGGGAGGTGCCGGGGCGGGGAGTCGGCCCTCGGGGCGGTCTGTGAGCGGCGCTCCCGGGCTGGAGCGCGGGCCGGGACCGGGCCGAGCCGAGCGGGCCGGGGCAGCTTCCCTCTGGCCAGGCTCTTCCTGTCCGCTCGCCCGCAGGTGCCGAGGAGCCGGGCATGGAGGCGGAGGCGCAGGAGCTGCCGTTGGGCTGCGGCGGAGAGGGCGGCTCGCCGGCGGCAGGGAGGTCTCCGGAGGGCGAGGAGCGCCGGGATCCCCCCCAGGCGTCTGTCAGCAACGGCGGCGACGCGGAGAGCGGGAAGGAGCTGGTGGAGCTGAAGGTTATCTGGAACAAGAACAAGTACGACGTGAAGTTTTGCCTGGACAGCACGGGGGCCGAGCTGAAGCAGAAGATCCACTCCCTCACAGGTCTGTCGGGGTCACCGCCGCCTCTCCTGCCTCAGCCCCTGCCTCCTCTCACCCCTCTCAGGCTGTCTCCTAACCCTTATTCTTGCCTCTTAGGCCTTCCCCCTGCTATGCAGAAAGTTATGTTCAAGGGACTTCTACCAGAGGAGAAAACGTTGCGGGAAATCAAAGTAACAAATGGAGCAAAAATAATGGTTGTCGGCTCTACTATCAACGATGTCTTAGCAGTAAATACGCCCAAAGAAGCTGCTCAACAGGAGGTCAAAGCTGAAGAAAATAAAAAGGAGCCGCTTTGCAGACAAAAGGTTATTGATGTCTCCGTAATCCGTGGTGTGGGGGAGCTGTCAGATTTACGTGGTTTTCTTGTAATACTCTGCAGTCACCTTTGGGTCCTGTGCAGCCTCAGCAGGCTGGGGTTTCTCTTCTCACAAAAAGCAATAGGTGAAGGGCTCTGTGCAGGGGAGTTCTAGCAGCAGGAAAGTAGCCCAGTAGAGGCTGGGGCTTTGCAAGACACCACTTGTGCTGGTGCCAGGCACAGTCTAGCATTTCAGACAAGAAATGGTAACTAGTAGAAATATTTTGTGGTTGTTAGCTCAGACGCAGTCGAAATTAGTTACATCTGAAAACTAACTGATTTTTGTTGGCATAAAAGAACTTGATCTCCAAAGCTTGCCCTTTAAATGAACACCAAGAGAGCAGTTCTTTTAGCTGTCCCAGCGCTGAAAGGAACCTGGGTGTTGAATTCTCCTCCTGCATGTTGTGCTGCCTCTGAGTAAGAAATGAAGTACAGCACAGTGAGACTTGCTTTGCTGGCAGCGCTGCAGTCTTGTGGGGCTGATAAAGGATTTTCAGCTCAAGGTATTACCAGCCCCATATCTTCCTCAAAATAAATTGAATTAAAAACAATTAAGTAGCGCATCATTGAACTGCAATCTTTATGAAACATGCTTTTGTTTTTCTATAATTTGTCATAGTTCACGTTCACTGTAAGTTCCATCATTGCTTAAAGGTACTTGGCAACTTACAAGCTGTGAGCATGGTTTTCTTAGTTACTACTGCTCTAATCTGGTCTGGTTTGTTGCTGTGTTGCGGTATGTTGCACTGTCAAATGTGGAGGGTTTTCTGCTGTTCACTGGATATAACACTTGACTGTTAAAACTGTCTTGCCAAATGCCAGCTATGTGATTCAGCATGTACAATATTGAAGTGGGACTCGGGGTTCTTTAATATTTTTTATAGATACATATTTATGTGTATGTATATTCTAGAAGGAATATCATCCTTTGCATTACACTGGGGTTCTAGTTATTTATATAATTTCTCTAGACTGTCATAGAAAGTCTCATTTAACTTTGAAAATTAACCGTTTCCTGTGTGATAAATGACTGTGAAGAGTCCTTAACTGTCTCTTAATGCTATTGGGATATGGTCACGGGTGCAGCTGGAAGTAAATTGAAAAGCTCTGTTGTGTTTGTGTAAATTCTAATTTCTGGTTTTATATTGTAGCAACACAGGAAAGTATTGGATAAAGGAAAACCTGATGATGTGATGCCTTCTGTTAAAGGTGTTCAGGTAGGTAAATAAGTACTTGAGACATTGTCATAATCAGGAGAGAGAGAGATGTTTTTTGTGGTTTGAGACCTTTCTTTGCCGGTTCAATCGTTCCTTGCTATCTTGGTAGAAAGATGGATCGTCTTTATGCTTTAAAAGTTAAGAGGATATGTTTTTTCCTCTTAAAGTCCTTGTCTGTGACTTACTGTGTTGTCTCTTTGTAGGAACGCCTGCCAACAGTGCCATTATCTGGCATGTACAACAAGTCAGGGGGGAAAGTAAGATTGACCTTTAAACTTGAGCAAGACCAACTATGGATTGGTACAAAAGGTGAGCGACTCCAAAACTCTGTGATGAATAAATGGTACTTGGGCTGTAAGTGAATTGTGTGACCTACAAATAGGTTCTGGTGTGACTAAATTGTGTTTAGGGAATAGTGTTGGTATTGTAATACTTCAAAACTAAATTTTGCTTCCTCTTCTCAAATGCTGTTTTCCCACATCATTGAATATTACTTGATGTTTTATTTCTGTTCTTGAAAAACTCAAGTTCAGTTGTGCCAGTAGACTGATGTTCCAATCTGCTATTCATAGCTCCAAATGTAAATTATAATGTTTGGCATTTCTAGCATATCTCAAAAGCACTTCATAAACATTGGTCTGGTGCCAGCATCGCGTAGAGGCTCAATGACTTGGCTGGGACTCAAAAGGGAATCTTAGAACTGGGATTAAAACCTAGGAGTGCTGGCATCTCTGTCATTATCTGTCCTTTCAACCAAAATTAGTTGGGTGTCTTGTTTCAGTGATGTACAACTGCAGAAACTATGGCATGTGTTGCTGTGCAGAGGAATCAGTTTACCGTCTTGAGTGATGCCAGGAGGAGCTGAAAGTGCCGTGGTGATAACGTGCATTGCTGAGGACGTCTCAGATAACCTCCTGCCTCCAAAGGAAGCTCTGCTCCTTTAGTTTGACCAGGATGGGGCAATATTATAGTGACGAGCAAGAAGAATATCAGTGCTTGCTCACTGTCCCAGTAAAGTAACCTTATTGGATGGTAATATTAGCTTTGGATGGCACGTCCAGCTGCTACATTATTTCCAAAGTAAGCAGAAATCTCGGAAGTTTTTGACCTTTCCTTTGTAGGACTTGATTGTGAAGTTTTTTCTGGCTTTAAAACCTCTGTTGGTACTAGTTGAGTAATTTTTTTTCTGTTCTCCTGGGCTATGTGATGGAGTTCTTTTTCCTTTATAGGCTGGGCAGCCAGATCTCTTTGTTATTGATAGCGTGTTCTAAATGCATGGTCAATATTTAGACCTTTTAAATTTAATTTAATCCTTTTTCTTCACCTTCTAGATGAGTTTCAAGTTTACTATTTCTAAAGTGTTCTAGATGAGTGTTTCTTAAGCTGTGAAATTTGACCCTTCTTGTAGTCATCTGTCTTTCATGTAACCTGTTTCCCTACTTCCCCAAATTAGCAGCGGCTTGCTTCCTTTAGGGAATGGTTGTAATTGCTGAATGTTGTTGGGAAAACTCCCTCCTGCTCAGAGAGATTCATGGCAGATGCATGGAGTGGCTAGGATATGCACGGAAGGGCTAGGATAAAACCAACTGGGTGCTAACACAGTTTTTCACTTGCTAGTCCTGGAAAGCTGGAACTGATTCTCCCCCACGCAGCTTTCCTGTGCTTCACAGATCGCTCTGTGTGGTTTTGTAGTCTAAAGTTTGGTGTAGGCAGGTGTTTCACAGATGCTCTGTGTCATTTTCGTAGAGGCACTGATAATATGGATTGGGTTTGTTGGTGCAATACTGTGAAGAGTAACTCTTTTTGCACTTGTTTAGCATCCTGCAAAGTGGATGTTCCAAGTCTGACTGGGGTAGTTTGGTTTAGCTACTGCACTGAGGTAGAGCATTTTTGTCTTTGCATAATTAAGTTTGTCTTCCCTGGGTGCCTATTTTAGGTAGGTGCTTTTTTTCTGGATCACACAAATTCCTTAGATATATCTAAGGACTTAATAGTTCAGTTCCTCCTTTGCAGAGTGTTTATGGTTTTCTCTTTCTGTATCCGTAGAAGATAATTTTAGGCTGTCACTGAAAGGAAGGATCTTGGAGTTAAGTCTTCTGAAAGAATGAGGACAGAACTGAGACAGAAAAAGTCTGCACGAACCATATGCTTTGTCATTCTTGTTGGTTACCTCTGGCTGACATTACTCTGTCATCTAATTGTAGTCATAATTTCTTTTTCGGTTTCTTTTTTTGTTTCTTTCCCTGTTTACTCATTAATATTTCCTTCCCTGTACTTTTATAGTTTAATTCCAGTATAAAACCAGGACTAGGCTTTCAAAGAGCTAATTAGCCTGTCTTCATTCAGCTTTCAGCCTTGTCCTTTCTGTTGAGCTTAGTATAATCCTTGGTAGCCAGACCTGAGTGTCCCTACACTTGGACCAGCTTTCACTACGGTGAGTAATTCTGCTGGCCCAAGTGGAGTCCCTTCTGGGGAGACATAAAATGTGAGGAATTGCGTGATCCACTTTTGGATTCCTTTTAAGTATTAGTGTTCCAGCTGTGGGGTATGTGGTAATGTGGAAAACATGCTTTTCAGCAGCAGGTATCCAAAGCTCACCCAAAGAGGAGATTGCTGGCGTGAAGAGCTTTTGGAAGTAATGGAGGTGGTATTTGAAATTAATATGAAATACTACTTCCTCATATGTCAGAAATAATACTTTGATCAATTTTAATGTAGAGAGAACAGAAAAGTTACCCATGGGGTCCATTAAAAATGTGGTGAGTGAACCTATTGAAGGACATGAGGATTATCACATGATGGTAAGTAATGTCTCTACTTTAATAATATCAATCTAATTGCTTCATGCCAATACACAGAAGTAAGCTTTAAAACAGAGCAAGTTGGAGGCCGATGGTAATGCCAGCCTCATGAGTTGTGGAAGATGGGAACGTGGACATGGTCTGCTGTCACGGTGTAAATATTTTGAGTAGCATATTGAGTATCTGCTGTTAGGGAAATCTGGACTAGTTTCACACAAAAATTAGTGCTTAAGTAATACTTCATATCTTCTGCTGTCTTGTGACAGTGTTAAAACAGCAAAAATACCCATGATATAGCTCATTAAGAAATAATGTTAGTGATATTTTCCTGTACCTAGTTTATTTTCTGGTTTCTGTTGTATTTATATAAACAAGAGTCCTTGCTGAAGGTTAAAAAAAAAAGGTAGTGATTTGATACTGTAATTTTTTTTTTCATATGTGACTTTCTGAAAAACTGGTTTTGGGTCTAGAAAAGTAACACATTTAAGAAGGGAGCAGTGCTAATTCTACTGAATTTTTGGCTGTTTCTTTCAATTTTTTTGACATTTTGCTTTCCAAAGTACAGTAGCTAAATTTAATGTTGAAGTAAGTTCCTTGTATAAGTCTCTTCCCTTCTTTAGAGGAAGAAAGGGGAGATCTTATACCTTACAGTTACTGCCTGCAGGAGGGTATTGATCTAGTCCTTGTCCAAATACTTGATTATTGATTCCCCTGTGTAAGAAACTGTCCTCGTCAGAATATGATACAATAAACTCTTTATCCTGCAACAACAGCAGAGGTTATTGTCATGCCATGGTGCTCCTCTCCTATTTATACTGACTTAAGTTGAAGATAGGACATTATGTCTAAATATAAAATTCCGTGAAATTTTATGACTATGAAAACATAGTCATTGTCTTATTTAGTTCCTGTTTGGCTTCTCAGCTCTGTGCACATTGCTCATTTCTTTAGAGACTTTGAATTATGCTTCAGATTCTGTCTGCCAGAATAATTTCCTCACATTCCTGAAACTGGCCAAGAGGTTTTGTTGCTGCTATGATATCTTGAAAGGAAAGAGCTTCTCGTTTTAATTTATACTTTGCAGTCCTTGTCTCTCTGAGGAATGGTTGTGTTTTGGTTCTTATTTTTAATTGCTTACCGAATATATTGTAGTGTGCACTAAGGGTTTGAAGGAGGCAGTAAGTATAAGAGACTTGACTGATTTTTGTAGTGGATGAGCTGTATCTGTCCACTGGTGTAAGCTGTTCTGTTTCCCATTTGTAAATGTTGTCATTTTTAACTTTGCAGGCATTTCAGCTGGGCCCAACAGAAGCATCTTACTACTGGGTCTATTGGGTACCAACTCAATATGTTGATGCAATCAAAGACACGGTGCTGGGAAAGTGGCAGTATTTTTGAAAGCACGCTCACCTCTGGCACAGGAAAATGACACAAAGCTAAGGACACTGCTGGGAGAGGCCTCCAACATCCCTGGATGTGATAGTCCTGGAACTTATTAATAAAATATGATAAACGAGGCATTGATGGAAGCCAGAGGTGATGTTCTTTCACCATTAGTTTACTTTTAACTTAAAAATTTCACCATCCCTTTTCTGCAGTCAGCTTCAACCATATTTAAAGCAAATACAATGGAAATCAATAAATCTGAATTCACAAAATATTGTGTGTAATACACTTAAATCTGCTGAGAGTTGATCTTCCAATTTAGTTTTAAAAAGAAAATATTACAATGTATTATTGAGGATTTTTTACATGGTTTGAACAAAAACAAATATTTTCATAATCTTTCAGTTACAAGCGTTAGACTTAATTTAGTTACTTGGTTGTGACTGAGAATTTCAGAAACAGTTTTTTAAAAATAAAACTTTAAACAGTATGCAAAATTGATGTTTAGTAAGCCATATTCTGCTGGCCCTTTTATTTCAGGTTTGAATCTTTGGTAGCAAAACTCTAATTTTGGTTTTTTTTTTTTTTTTTTTTTACCCAATAAGGCCCTGTTTTTTTTTCTGGTTTTTTTTTTTTTTTCTCTT